CGGAAAAGATAAGGTTGGGAATGGAGAATTAAATGGATAAGTAGACAAAGAAATAAGCGCCTATTCACTGCAAAGTCAAGACTTAGTCGGTGGCTCTTTGTTTTATAGAAGATGCCAAAGACAGGGTGATTAAGAAAGTGTGCAATAGTTATCCGATTCTTGGTGTAGAGATATCGAGGAAATGCCGCACAACTAAGAGCGAGGCTATGATCTAAGGAATAATTTAATGAGAAAGATCTTTAAGTAGTGAAGTAACTAGGAACCAGGAGCACAACGGATTCAGTGCACAATGAAGTAGGATAAGAAAAAACACGTGAAACAATGCGGTCATTCGTGAAACCGTCTTCCGGGGACCTGCTTCCATGCGGGGTAGTCCTTCGATAGGTTTCCCCCGCACCTCCACCTCCCATCTGGTTATGTAACTGTCATGTAGCAATCAATCAATCAATACATGTTAGTTGAGGGTGAGAAACACACCTCAGCTAATATGCCGCAATAAAAAGTTGATACAAAAAGTTACACTAAGAGAAATTCAAAAACTGATAATATAATCGTAAATATTTTATTATACAATTCGTAATAGCTCGAAATCGGAGGGGGAATCTAAAAGGGAGGGGGTAGACAAATGAACTCAAAACACACGCCACGCGGACCGGCTCTTTACCATATCAGCAAGTGTGTCCATCCAAGCATGTTCATCGTCCTTCGGATCCCAGCCAGGCACTCGGGATGCACCAACTGACGCCAGTTCCGAAGGTTTTCATTTCTCTCTACCAAGTCATCGTTTGACCTCCCCTCCTCCTTTTCCACCCCCACCCCCGGCGCGCAAACAATCCACATCGCGGGAGTCGGTGTGTTGGTATGCGCAACACGTGGCCAAGACCTCGGAGCCTGGTGCGTGATATAATGGCGCTGAGCGGTTCACTAGCTCTTCCTGCACCAAATACGCGACGCCGAACACGCTCATTGCTCACGCGGTGTTCCCATCAGACATGAGCTAATCTGCGATGGCCCGCCTTAAGGATCACAAGCCCGCTTTTTAATCCGAGGACACGGTTTCGAGTCTACGCTGAGACCTGGCGACCCTCGCACGACTGGTGGTGGTCGCGCTGCAGCGAAGCGTCGGTACAGCGTACCGGCGTACTGCTGGTGGCTTTTTATTTTCTTTTCTACACGGAAGGTCTGTCCTCGTTGGTCTATCACACGGAAAAGCTGTAACAGACCGTATCGAGAGCTTATTTTCTGCAGTAAATCTACATTCAAATACTTCACTCTAGTTTCCCAGAACTTGGTGGGCAGACTGTCGGTCAAATGATGACATCTCGCGCAAAATAGTTGAATTGCGTGGCAATTAGTGTGGTGAGCACCAACTCCACTCTCCGACAGTTTTTAACTTTATGTACCGTAGATATGCATGCTGGGGGAATTTATTACTGGTTATAGTGTTGCTAAACAGGACCTAGTGGAGTATTTGTTAGCGGTACTGTTCAGGCCGAGTGAAACTGCAGCCAAGCATTTAGGGTCTAGGTGTGTTGAAGAGGCATAGACTGGAACCTAAGTGACCAACTCATTGATATGCCGGGGATTACACTAACGAGTGGCAAGTAATTTAGGTAGTTGGTCGAAATTTCGGTGTTGTCCACCCTTATCATATACTTTGCCAGGCGGTGATGGTCTGACCAACATTCGATCCACTGGTTTTTTCGCCTATGACATGACATCTTAGCGCTAAGCTATCACGCACCACAATTAACATCTGCGGCAAATGTTACAAGCTAATTTAGACTCTTGATCAGTCTAGTTGCAAGTAGGTACTGGACATCACTTTATGATAACTAAGGAAGTGTTACGTGGTCCTCAGCTGCTCCGATGCGGTGTTTACGGTCGCCGCTTTGACGTGTGATCCTTCGAACATCGTACTTTGTGGAATGTGACTGACAGGTACTGAATGCATATTCTAGTTGCACCTAGAGATCTAGTTGTTGATTCGTTTGAACACTCGTTGTGTGAATTAATTGTGTGGCATAACCTCGGTCACAACCGCGATTCACTTTGAACTGTGAACTTCGATTAACTCGGTGACTGAGGCCATATCTGAAACAGACAAATGGTGTAGGTAGAAATTCATCAGACATACATCACACACCCGGAAAAGCACTATACAGCCGTTTTATACTATCGGGAATCGTCAGCAGTACACATTCCATCTGACCCTGGTAGGGCCCGAACGCGCAACTCGGCTGTTGTCAGTCTGTGGTTAAAACGAATGAGCTACGCGGGACGGCAACGACCGACGTGACTACGCTACTACATGTGATATAACGCCGCTTACTGTTCACTGACTTGCATGTTGCTCCGGTGTACAGGGCAACGTAGCCCCTTACCTTAGGTTGGTAAGTTAGATTTTGTCTACTCGTAATATCGCAATCACGACGGGTTTCGTATTTGTTGCACTCATCAGACAAAGATAGCAGAACTGTGACTGGAAATCGGGATGTTGCGGTGCTAGCCGAAACGCTTATTGCTTTTTTACTGAGTCGCGGACAACGCTTGTCACAACATTGACTGAGCAGTTGTGGCTCATTTCGAAGCACTCGTTGTATGAATGGCTTGCCACCTCCAATCTCAATGTGGACCGCGATGCATGTTGGTGTGAATCTGGACCAAATTGGTCACGTGAACCTTAGCTGAAGCAAATTAGTGTTAATTGTTGCCCGCCTACCCGACCGTAACACTGCCGTCCACGACTGAGTTCCTACTCGTAGAAATAACAGCTGCCGACGCCTGTGTCCCCAAGCCACCGGGTCACGGACAACTTGTCACAATAGTTGACGGCTTATTGTTGGTTCATTTAAAGCGTCCATCGTACGAATGGATTGATTTCTAGTGTTTTATTTAGAAGTGAAGTCTTGTGTTTGTGCAGTGCGCGCTGGCGTAGCCTTACCCCATTTGAACGACGATGGCACCTGTATCTTGGGACATCTATTTGAAATTTCTTTTGCTCTTTATACCATGTAGTCATGCCGCAGTATATGCACTACACCTCAGCCCTCCAGGGGGCTGCTCAACAGTCACATTCTGATGTTTGACAGCGCTGTATTGGACCTACATCACAATCGACTCCTATCCCTCAATTTGAGCTCGGCCGGTGGCCGAGTGGTCTGCACGTTTGGTTTTGCAACCATAAGGTCACCGATTCGAATCCGTGTATGGGTGGGCGTCCTCGCGGTATACTCAGCCCGCGCGCGACTGGTGGTGGTCGCGCGGCAGCGAAGCGCCTTTACGGCGTACAGCTGACACATTGTTATTATATTTAGTGTGCGTTCGATTGACTTTGAAAGCGGTTGTATAAATTAATCTGTTGCAGCAACCCCTAACAACTTCAACTAAAGTTCACAGGCATAAGAGTGAACTCTTAACATATACCGTGACCATGTGAGACTTGGGGTATTAATATTAATATTAATCTTTTACTCTCAAATGGCGAATGGTAGCCAGTTCATTAAGTGTTCCATTTGGCTTTGAAAAACCGTGCTTCGCGTTTGCTAGCTCTGGGGCTCACGTTATTTGTGTGAATTCCTTTTTAGTTTTCCATAAGGGCTATATGTTGTCAAGATATTCCTTTCTTGTTGTTCAAACGGAGCCTGAGGACTTGTGTCCCTACTTGAATCACTAATGATTCCTTCAATCTTACGGTGTGTAGTCAAGTGAGATGCGATGTTAACCAGAGTACAAGATGCTTTGTTCTAATTACGTCATGAATATTCCCATCTTGGTCGGGTCAATGCTCTACCTAGTAATGCTGCTTCATGGCCGGTCCCAAACAATGCCACGTTGTCGATCAAGTTGTTCCGGGTGTAGCAAAGGTCTGTGTTCGAATCACATTGACTCACTACCTTGAAGCGCGTCGCGAAATATGCGCCAAACGAACCTTATCCTCAACCTTCTTTTTCATACCAAAATGTACTTTATACGGCATTCCCTCCCTTTGCGCACCACTGTGGGGCGAAGCGGTCAGGTTACAGAACTTACATGCTAACATTAAAAGGATCTCGTCACCGGGCCCGGAGGTCCGTAGTCATACTAGTTTGTTCAACTCTCATAACTGGTTCTCTTGACGTTTCCTTGCCCAGAAAGTGAATTCGTCAGACGGGAGAGTTTTATGAGACAGAATTGCCATCCACTGTCTCCGTGATCGTTGCTTATCCGTAGCGTATCCAAGCGCTGTTGTTTCCAAGTCCAAAGACCTCAGCAAACAACTCTTCCTGATCAGTGATCTTTGTGCTCGCCAAACTTGGCAACTAGTTTTCAAACGTTTCAACGTCAGATGCGTTGACATCATCAGTGCGTCTGAACACTCAACTCAAGCAACCAATATTTCGAGTCCTTTTAAACCCTACTTGTCTTTTCGATGTTTTTTCGTAGTCCTTCATCATGTAATTGGAGTTTCACTTAGCTAGCTTAAGTGTTTGTATACAACCCCGGGAGTATACAAGGCAGTCTAACAGCTGTGGACCCGCCATACTGGCTGGACCGCGTTCCTATTACATCTGTCAACCGTCAAACTCCGTCGTGTCCTTCTGCTTGGCATTCCATTTTGGCCAGGCAGTAGTGGCATGAAGGAACTCGTCGAAAGGTCATTGTAAGTAAAGTGTGAATTGTCATCCTAGATGAAGAGAATTGAACCGGTCGCCCCAGTGTTCAGAAGCCTTATGTACCATGACACAATGTAGGACTCCTTGGTGTTGTCGCTTCCCCTTCAGTTGACACTTCTACCGTTTTTACTCATCTTCAGTTTACACCGTTTTACCAATATTAACGACCCACCAATAAAAAATAACGTAATCATTTCATGTACCACATGATATTTCCAGTCACTACGATTTTGGTGTAATACCTATGGTTTATACATGGAGTCCATCTGTAATCGGGTATGAGTTCCTTACATTGCGATCATTTCTACTATCCTTACTGCTTTCCCATCTGTTTTGTTCTTTTAGCCGGAGCTACTCTGTGAGCAGGTATGTTCGGCCGCATGTTTCTCTTCTAAATTTGGTCACTACGATGCTTGAAATAGTTGCCAGCGTTTAATTGCATTCGTCCGTTCGTTTGATATAAAAACACTCAGTTGTACAGTGCGCTTGTTGATAGACTCCATGCAGGTGAGTATCACGTAGTGGTAAGGTGCTCTTAGCACTTTCTAGAGGAGATCCAACTTCCACTAGTATAGAAGCGAGGGGTCATAACTAATATTCATAAAGGGGTGGTCGCACCGATCCAACCAATGACCGTCGGATAACGCGGCTTCCTGTGCTTTCCAAAGTTGTAAAATCAGTCATCGCGGATGCACTGATGCATGTCTGAAAAATCATAGTATAATAGCCCCGGAGCAGCACCGCTTCCGACGAAACCGCTCATTCACTACGAACCTTAGTTACACGTAATGGTTGGACTGAAGTAGTTGATGGTGGAGCAGGAGTCGATGTCAGTTACTTGGACTCTACAAAAGCGCCTGATCGCTCAGGCCATCGAATTTTCTTCCATAAACTTTGGATCTATAGCACCTGTGACCCACTTCAGTGTTGGGTAGACAATTTCCTGCATAAATTTTGGTAGGAGGTGAGAGCATAAGAATCCCTGTCCGGCGCAACGGAGGTGGAGTCCTGTGTACCACAAGTCTGGGTGCTAGGGCCTCGCCTATTCTTGTTCTTCATAAACGATCTAGCGAGGGCTGTTATTTCCGATTTGCTGTTATTCGCTGATGATATGGCGAGCGATCAGGGAAATGGACGACCATAAAGAACTCCAGCTCGACCTCAGCACGATTTCAAAGTGCAGTACAAAATACCCTGCAATTTAATGTGGACAAATGTGCTGCTCAATTACACCATAGGCATGACAACTTGTACTGGCTTGGGTCACATATGTTGTAAACTACTTCCCATTAATGCAACCTTGGTGTGCTCCTACAAAGTCATCTCAACTGTTTAAAACAGTCTGGAGCAACTGCGAAAGTGGAAACCACCACACAGGCCTGCTGCGGAAGGCATTCAGAAGTTTTGACTCATCCATCATCCTGATTATGCACAACTTTAACGTTGCCCTCATGTTGAATACGCTATCCAAGCTTGGCAGTCTTAGTTGAAGCGCGACTTAGAAGTGCTAGAGAAACAACAACGTATGGCCACAAAGAACGTCAAGGGCCTACGAAATTTGTCCTACCATCAAAGGCTAAAGTCACTGGGAGTTTTCAACGGACTCTACCGAAGGCTGCGTGGCGATCTCATATTACCAAATATTCGGTGACCCTAATCACGTATGCCGTCACTTACTGACACGCAACCATAACACCAATCTGAGAGATAACTCTCAGAAATTGAATGAACAGTAGAGCCGCCTAGAATGCCGGCGGAATTACTTTTCTCTTCGGGTTTTGCAACCCTGGAACTCTCACCCAAACTTAGTTGTTTCCTCCCCCACCTTGGAAATTTTCAATTAACGATTGGATCTTGCCCTTGGCCCCCAACACTTCATTTCCTATACTGTGCTACTTTAGAGTATCTTAATTATCCCTTCAAGCCGGATTAATATTTCACATACATCTGAGGAGGCGGTACAGAAATGAATATTCTTGTTTTTACTTTTTTCACGGAATACATCATCTATTACTGTCGCCATGTTGCCTCGTCGTTCACATTCACTTTCCACCTACACTACTATTATCCAGGGGCGCATTTATTCGATAGACACTTAAACAAACAACTCACATATTTTAAAGGCTTTACAATACAAATCGGTTTTGTATGTTTTTTATTGCGGCAATCATTTATTGCGCAATAGAAAAAATATGAGATCCCAGTCGGTTCCAAGCATATTCCGACACATCGGACAACCCATATATCTTTGGATATTGTGGTTTTACCCATGCCATCCTACGGGATATGTCAAGCAACAACTTGTTTACCCGTGATAAATCGTTGTTCATTGTCCTAATCAATAGCCTAAGTTCTTTGTGGCTATCTGAAGACGGATTCAGTCTTATCTACGGGCGGAGGTGCAAGCCAATTTTATCACATGTGTTCACGTTAGTGTTCACATCTGTTCCTAGAAACTCGCATTGCTTCCTGCCTTGAGTCAGCTTTGATTGCAATTTATCTGAATAAGCCCAGCTGGACGCTTGTTAACTACAATTGGATGCTATTGGCTGGATATTTCATCCATCTAGATTCCATTAAAGATCTTGGCCGCGATCATACACTGTGGACATGGAGGTACGCTTGGCAGCATTAGTATTCTAACAAAGCCAAACAGTTACTACTTTCAAATATTATCTATTTCATACTGGCCTACAGTATATTGGTGGTTGACTTTTCACGTATGCTGCAACAAATCGTATAGCAACAGAAGATCGGTAGCACTGTATTACAAATACTCGCCTATCAACATTCCGTAGATCACATTTCCTGTCTTTCCGGACTCAATCTCCAAACATATCGATGTAATTTGCACTGTCGGTGGACCTACCATGAGCAAAGGTAGCCATCGCTGTTTTTAGTGGACTTGCAGTTGGGAGTGTCATTAGGAAAGCAAGGTACCCCGATACAGTGTTATGTCTGCAACAAACTGAGTCTTACTAATGGTTATCGGTTTGTCCAGAAAATTCGAAGAGGCGAAGTAACTCGTGTGTTCACTAAGTAAACCGCTCGTTGCCACTTTTGGTAACCAACCCCCCACGATCTATCCATTGTCAGCAATGTGATGTCTGACCTGTCCACACCACTGGAGTGAAGATTGGGAGAAAATTCCACACTCGGTAGCGCCACAAGTCTACTTCCCTGACAAGCTTCCACCAGCAGTATTGAGATATGGAGGGAACAATGTCAACAAAATTCTCTCATTATTCAAGAAGTTATGAGAATGTTCACGACTCATTGGGCGAATCTGTCCTGTTCCCAATTTACAAGAAGTGTTTCCGTAGCGAATGCAACGGCTATCGAGTAATCTCCCTTATCTCTATCGCTTCCAAGGTTTTGTGACCATCTTGTTTCGTAGACTTTCAGTTACCCTAAGGAGTTTGTTTCGCGAGGAACATTCTAGCTTTCCTGCCAGCCGAGATTTTATCGACCAGATCTCCACGCTGCGTCAAATTCTCGAGCATCATTATGTCCGCCGAACACTAACGATGGTGGTGTGCTTCGACATTCTAGCCGCTTTTTGTTCATTAGATAGTTCATCACTATAGAACCGTTTACTAAGGAACAATGTACCCGACAAATTTGTAGTAATCGTGAAGGAACTGTATACTCAACATTAGCTTGAGTTGGAGCTTATGGCAGGCTTTCTTCTGCGTCCGCTGGCACCAGCTGAGTACACCAAGGTTGCCTTTTCTCACCGTTCTTTGTTCTTCACCGCACTGGAGGGAGTCAAGAGACGCGTCATTAGGGACGGCGCACTGGCCGTCCAAAACTTCGAACCACGTAACGATAGAGGCATCTACATATGGTCTGTATTCTACCCTTTCGTTTTGGAAAGCGCCTGTGCCTATGCTCACCGATACGGATGGCAGCCTGGAACAAGTGAATAGTTTTATTTCTCTCTTGAGTCGCGTTGCGGCTAGTGGCGATCTTGATAACATTTAGAGAAGAATCACAAAGGCTCGCCTTGCATTCATTGACCTGAGATGCTTGTGGCGTTGTTTTGATGTCAGTCTCAAGCGCTACTGCAGAGTACAAACTGTCACCGTCCGTGCAGTCTTTCTGCACGATTGCCGAGTACTCGGTGCGAATAGTCCCTACCTCCAGCATATCATTTTCCACCACCGTTTGCTTTTGTTGGGGCACGTACTATGCATGTCAGCCGATCGTGTCCTCTTCGTCGCACACTATTTGCACGTTTTTGAATGAGAAATTGCCGCAGCAGACAATCGATGACTCAGAGATGGAACATGAAGAATCTTACCCCATGTCTATAGTTTTTGCAGCCAAATGCATCCACAGCACTTATAAATTCTTAAGAAAATCACATTCCTTCATAGATCTCTCTAGATCATACTTAAGCTATCAAGTTGCATCCAGCGGGCGCAAGCGATCCTGTATACTACGTACTGTTCCTTGAGTGAACCATCCTAAATCAACCAATAGTATTTCAGCTTACACAGACTGGGATGTCATTGGCTGAGTTGGGATGGGTCACTCAATGAACAGTAGCGTTTAAGTGCATTTGCGCTCCTTGGATGCAGTTTGATTGCATTAAGGACTGACTTCAGATAGCTGAAGTAACATGATTTCCTTAGGAAGGAATGTGAAAGCGCTATAGATACAATTGACTGAGAACACGTGTAGTGTCTGTTGGATCTCTCAATCCAAAGTGGGAACCGCGTGATGCAGACTACCAGAAGTCTTGGGGGTCATGGTTCGCAGCAGAAATCCATGGCGCCGATGCGGCTGTACCGTTTCTTTTTCTCCCTTCGATTTTAAAGCAAAAACTAGAGGACTAAAAGTAGCGTGTGGGAAACACCAAGAGGAACCTATCCCATTTTGGTACTGTTTTCACCACATTGTTGAACAAAATGTTCCCCTTCCACTGCCGGTATGGCTCTCTGTATGCAGATTAGTGCATAAATAATGATAGAATAATCTAGCTCTTCTAGACCGCGAGGTATTCAAATTGATATTCAAAGCTAGCTAATGGTTTAACTTGTAAGGAATGCGCCGTCCTTTTCGGCATATTTGTCCGGTAAAATCAATAGGTTTTGACCTTAGCCTGGTTTGATCTTTCTGCAACGAACTTGCTTTCATGCTGCAACTTAGTTTGGATACTCTGACAAGTGGAGATGCGGGCAACTGCCAATGCAGCAATTTGCTGCAGAATAACAGAGTCTGTTGTTGTAGTAGCATGCCTTGTTGAACGCACTTTAAACTGCTTTTAATAGCTATCGCAGTTATGCGCGATTTTTCCGCCATCCGTGCCCTGACGTCGTTGATGTGCGCACATGTACGTCTCTGGCCTGCCTCACCCGGAG